AGATGCCTGAGCCACCTCAACTGGCTCCTCTGGATGTGGAGGAGCAGCGGGTCTACTCCGAGCCCCTCCCGGATGACCGAGCTTCTCACCCTATCTCTAAGGGAAAGCCCAGCCACTCTTCAGAGAAAACTCATTTCGGTCACTACCCAAATCTCATGACCATAGGTGAGGGTAGGAACGTAGATCGACCGGTAAATCGAGAGCTTCGCCTTCTGACTCAGCTCTCTCTTCACCACGACAGACCGGTACAACGCCCGCATCACTGCAGATGCAGCACCAATCCGCCTATCGATCTCACGCTCCAGTTTTCCCTCACTCATGAACAAGACCCCGAGATACTTAAACTCCTCCACTTGGGGCAGGACCTCGTCCCTCACCCGGAGAAGGCATTCGACCCTTTTCCGAATCAAGACCATGGTCTCAGATTTAGAGGAGCTGATTCTCATCCCAGTTGCTTCACACTCGGCTGCGAACCGCTCCAGCAAAAGCTGAAGATCACGTTCTGATGAAGCCAACAGGACATCATCTGCAAAAAGCAGAGACCTGATCCTCAGGCCACCAAAACGGATGCCCTCCACACCTTGGCTGCACCTAGAAATTCTGTCCATAAAGGTTATGAACAGAATCGGTCACAAAAGGCAGTTGATTTGTTATTCTAAGTCTTTTTAGTTTTACGGGACAGCAGCAGATCAGGAGGTAGAGCAACCGGGTTGTTCACTAATCAGAAGGTTGCAGGTTTGATCCCGGCTCTGACCACAGAACGCTGCTGTTGTGTCTTTGGGCAAGACACTTAACCGACTTGCCCGCTGGTGGTGGTGTTGGGACCGGTGGCGCCTGTGTTCGGCAGGCCCGCCTCTGTCGGTGCGCCCCAGGGCAGCTGTGGCTACATCGTAGCTCCTCCCCACCAGCGTGTGAATGACTGACTGGGGTGTGAAGCACCTTGGGGGTTGTCCAACCACTAGGAGGTCCAACACAAATCCAAGCCATTTACCATTTACTTGAACTCCAGTGTCTTGCTAATGGGAATCCTGGCAGATGTAGCCATGGGGGTCGCTGCCTATGGGAACGCTTTTGTCATGGTGGAGTTGGTGGTGGTGGAGGTGGTGGTGGGGGAGGGGGGCTTCCCTGGTCTTCTTGGCTTTGGGTGTGAATGGATTTCTATGATCTCGTTTCCTCACCCTCATTGCAGACTGAGCTGTGTGTGCTGTGAAGGGGTGAGGGTCGGGGTGTGTGTGAATCTGCTGAACTGGTTGTGTGTTGTACGGAGGCTGTGATTTTATTCTGTTTTATTCATGTAAAGCACTTAGTGCTGGTTTTATCATGAACATTTAGATTTGGTTTAACCAGAGTCGGCGAGGAGGCTGTTGGTTCTAATCTCCGACGTTTGTTGTTCAGACAGACGTCCACTGAGAAGTAACCCCCAAATTCCACTACCTCCGCTCCGCTGCGCTCCGCTCCGACACGAACGCCGGAGCAAAATCGGTCCCGTTCTAGTCAATCAGAGCAATTCCACTACTGCGGCCGTGCTCCGGCAGTGCGGCGCCCTCTGTTCCGGCGTCCGGCAAAAATAGAATCGATCCTATTTTTGCCGGACGCCGGAGCACCTCCGCAGTAAATGGACAGAAATCACAACGGCCCAACAGGAAAAGGAGCAAGCACATCTTCCGTTTTTCACAATAAATCGCTAAACAAAAGGCGTTTTTTGTTTCATATGCACAGGTTTAACAACTTTTAACAACTATCAATGGCGGCTGAAGTTTAAATGCACAAAAATAAGCCATAAATACAGTTGCCACTATCAAAGTAGTCACACTTTGTTGATCCAAACTGCTGATCTCTCAACACAAATGATGGGCAGATTAAACAGTTCATGTCGATGCTTCTCCCACACAACGGGTGTTTGGATCTAACTTCCGCGTTTATTGCTCGGACTGTATCGCAAGATCTCGAAAATCCCGCGCATGCTTGTTTGCCCCCCTCAGGTCTCCGCACCGGAGCGGAGCCGTTGTTGAGCGGGTACCAGTAAAAATTGAGTTCGGAAGCGAGCGGCTGCGGAAGGCGGGGGCGGACCGCAGCGGAGGTAGTGGAATTTGGGGGTAAATCACTAAAAACACTCACAACAGAATCAAGAATCTTAGGCGCGTGTTTCCATTCAAGCAAACAGGCCAAACAGACTAGCTGGACGACCAGATCGACTACGGTGAAAAAGCTTTTAGATCCAGATGAAAACGTTTCTGTTTAAAGAAGCTCTCGTAGGTCGGCCCATCACCACCAAACGGGCCGACATCAGATTCCTAAAAGCTACTGAGAGAAGAAGAAGTCAGATGCGGTCTCTGGAGGTTCTGGGCCTGCTGCACAGCTAACGGGCTCAGAGATGCTCACTCACAGTTCTGGTGACTCTACCACCGAGAGACCGAGACAGCTGACAAGCATCATTTTGACCTAAAACAGAAACCATCACTTTGTTACTTAAATAAGCTAAATGATGGTTTGTTCTGGGTCAAAGTTCATTAGGATCAATAGCCCTCATGCTAACAGCTAATCGGTCGACAGTGTTCAGCTGCTGAATGAGCTTGTTTTTCGGATCGCTTTAACCGGATCGAGCCTGTTGCTTTAACATCACCACAGACCTTACCTTAGCTCTTGTCTAGGATCTTTTGCCTGATGGATTATGTGTTGTTTTAGGACCAGGAGCATCATGGAAACTACTTATATGATCTCAAGGAACAGGATGTTGTGCTTGTGGTGTTAAAGACAGCTTTCCGCACCTGGATGTGTCTGAAAACTCGTTTAGGAAGCTAATCTTCTGCCCTGGAGTAATGATTAAATGTTTATTGTTTTAAATAAATGTAATGAGGAACAGCTTCTGCTGCCTGAGAAACAACAAACATTATTTATTTGTCATAGAAGGAGCTTCGCAGCCACTAAAGACCGTTTTACTGCCTTCATATAAACGTTAAGGGCTAATTTACTGATGCAGCTAAATATCAATAAACATCATCTGGATGGAATCAGTCGTCATGATGAAGCATCATGAGCCGTGAGACGCCTCTGATTCCTCACGTCTGAGTGTAAGGACACACACACACACACACACACACACACACACACACAACGTGACTGGCTCTGGTCTAGAAGCATCCGCACCAAGTGCATCATGGGGTATTAGATGGATTCATCGATTCACATCCCTTCTCTCCCTCCTTATAGCTGTTAATCTGAGTGTTTCACATTAGGCTCCACCATCACTGCATCCTGCGTCTCCTCGCGTCACCATCCCAGCACCTCTTCCTGCTTTTCTTCCTCCATCTTTCCCAGTATTCCTGCTTCTCAAGGTGACTCATCACCGAGGCGTCTGTAGCTCCCTGCTCTACCTCCATCAGCTGACGCTGGTTTTACCTCAGCCTTCATCCTGATCACCAGCTCCTGCAGCAACAGTCCCTATCTGTTGATCAGGCCAGACCAAATGGTCCCAGCTGCGTAGTAATCCGAACCTCCCTCTGGTCTCCTTCCACTTCAATCACAGCCAGTTCTACTTGGTTTCCTCTTTAACACCACCCAATGGAGATCCGATCTCAGTCAGAACATGGGAGTTTCCACTCGCCCTGCATGCACTAACACCCCTCCCCCCACCTCCTGCCTTTGATGCAGGAGTCAGAGTTGTGTTTGGTGTCCCCCTCTGGCTATCTAGTGGACAGAGTTACAAACCGTGACCGAGCAGCAGTGATCCCGGACTTGGCCTGAGTGTACTCTCATCCCAACCGCCCCCACCGTCACTCATACTGGGGAAGATGGAGAACAACGTTGTGCCTGATTTAAACTAAAAACTTAAAACTAGGTACCAGTGATTTTCCAACAGGGATGACATCATCACATCTAAGAGTAGAACAGGAAGTCCTCAGTGACCTGATAGATCAGTCTGGTTTTATAGACTTCTGGGGTAAAACAATCCATTGGAGTGGTCCACGGTCAGCATCTTACTCTGGGAGCATCAGTGATGGTGGAGAGCACTGCTGATGACCCCCGCCCCCCACACACACACACACACACACGCACACACCCCACCCACACACACACACCTTCACCAAACTCAGTCTAATTAGTGACATCAACACGGAAGACCCCAGTGCTGTGATGTGTGGGTTAAAATCCCCCAAATGGCTGAATATAGGGGAAATGCATGTCTCCAGCCACCACCCTCATGCAACACCATTATGGATGCACGACCATACCGGGGGCTTCTGTCGGTCAAACGGAAACGACAGGTCATTCCGCAGTTCGGCTGCGGGTTTTTACGCTAACAGGTTACATAGTCTGGTGCGCATTTTCACAATTATGATGTGTCACTTTTGGATTCCTGTCTGGCTTTAGGAGGCACCAGTCTTCACCCCAAAGCCAGATTAAATAATCGCTTCTATAGGTTAAAAAATGAGACATTTGTGGACATTTCTGCCTCCTGAACGTTACAGGTTATGATTCCTCTGTCTTGAATTTGGACACGTGCCACGCGTTTTAGCGCGTGTGCTTCTAACAAAGCAGATGAAAAGTGTTTTTCGTGTAACTGAAACTGCTGAGACGTTTCTGCGCCGGCTAGATTCTGGATGCGGGAGTCTGACTCGCAAATCTGGCGCAAAAAATAAAATAAAATAAAAGGCTAGAGAGACCAGGCAGCAGCCCCCCTCCATGATCCGTTAATCCCAGTCTCTCATCGTTACCTCGCCCATCTGGAGTAAATCAGCAGATGGATGAATGTGAGGACGCGCTGAGAGCCTTTGCGTCTGCTTAACAGTTTGCGGGAACAAAGCGCGACAGGTAACCCAGAATGAACATCCCATCATGTTCAATGTCATCCTAACGTCATGCCTGTAGCTGCATCCGCGTTAACCCTTTCCTGCACAAACACACGCTCACCGCTAAACGTTAAACTAAAGCTAGCTCGCGCGACATTTTACACTAATCTAAACGATGGCTTAAAAAGATGCTAATATCTGGGCTCTTACCCCCATTTTGGTGCTCTCAGTCGGGTCTCTTCAGATGATGCTTCGGGCTCTTTCTTTTTCCAACCAGAGAAGCTGCGTTTAAGGCCAAGAAAAAAGAAGAAAATGTAAAAATAATCTCCTTTCTAAATGAGAACAATGTCGTCCGTCAGCGGTTATCGTTAGCTAATTTGCTGTACGATAAAATCAATAACTGGCTAACACACTTCACCGTAAAATCTCATATTTTAGCGTTAATAACACTGAGAGGATGACTCGACATGTCACAGACCGCGAACACAACGCTGGGAGGCTTCACCCCGTTCAGGTAAAAATCTAAAAGGCTTTTTTTAGGCGGAGTGAAATGGTGAAGTTATCCGCAGTGATTGGTGATGTTCACCAGCCGAGCGGAGCCGAGCTGAGCCGAGTCGACACCCCGCGCGAGGCGAAATGATGCCAGAGGAAAGAAGAGCCAATCCCCTGCGACGCTGTATCAATCCGCAGCAGTGCGCAGGCTGCCGCCGCACTCAGGCTTCCCCGAGCCCTTATCCCTCCGCAGAGGAGCAACCAGATAGGTCCAGTTAAAAATGATAAAGTTAAGTTTAATTGTTTAATTTAGACATTGTTTTAAATGACTGTTGTTATTTTCCACCGTTTGCAGCTGTTTGACTAGTCACACAGCTCGTTTAAGACAGAAATATTAACACATTTCTGAAAAAATACAATAAAGATTAATTCAGAAGAACTAACAGGATCACCCAAATCAAAATGTAGCTTATATTAAAAATGTGATTTTTATAATTGCATTCATTATACCCTAATGACAAATCACAACAAAAACTAAACTAATCATATAGTACTTGTCAGGGATTTGCCCAAACCAGCCAGAGACGCACTACTCATGAGACTCAAAAACCTCCATTTTATTTTGGAGCAGCTTCACAGGTAACAGAAACTTTAACCCAATCACAGCACAAGACCATCTCCAGAAAACAAAAGACCTTTCAGACACACCATGTTCAACTTAAATAGTGGCTGATCAGACCACTCTACATACAAGAGGGGAACAATTAACATACAATTAACACACACATCCTCACACACACACAAACTAACCAGTCTAATCAATTCAGGTAACTCAAATAACTAAATCATAATTACAAACTTCCTTGACCATGTCCATGAGGTGACAGACACTGCTGTCACAGTACTGCACAAAAATCACATGTCCAGTTTAAATAAAGTTGAATTTTGAGTGCACACCAAACGCAACCCAGTAGTTTCATTCAAACTCAACATTAGTTCAATTTCAATTTAAAGCTGTTTTAGCAAATTTACAATACAAGCCAACACAAACGTGGTCACGGAACTCACCCCTCCCCTTATATCTGCCGGAACTGTAAACCCACGATTCCGGACAAAACGATATTGCGCTAAACACCGGTCACCGTTTCCTAGGTCCAAATGTCTTTTGTTGTCCGTGACTTCAGGTGGTGTTTTTCTTTTTAGGATTCTAGTTTGTCCTAAAGTTGAAGTGGTAGCAGCCGGTTGTTTCTCCTGCTCTGACATAACTGAGCGGAGAACCTCTCACACCAGTGGTGTTCTGGTGCTGAATACGTGAGTGTGTGATGAATGGAGGACCAGGGAAGTGTCGCGGTTCAGTGAGACCGACAACCGGATGGTCCGATTGCTTTTGGTCCGAAACGTGTTGTCGGTGGAGGTTTTTAGGCAGATGCAAGAGAACCATTTCAATAATTTCCTTATTTTAATTTTTTCATTGTAAATTTTCTAATCAAAACAAAATCCCTGAAACACGTTTTATACATCGAAATATTTTAAATATAAAATTTTTTATAACAAGAGGTTTGGGTTGAACAAACTAAATTTCTTTGATGGAGCTGATATACAATTCCATAAATGTCTGTATTTATTTATTTATTTATTTTGTGGGGGGAAACCTCATCAGATTGCATCAAATCAACTCATTGCTTAAAGCCCCCATCCTGAGATTTAAGAAGATTTATTTATTTTTGAACAGATACAGACCTCCAGCAGAACCCGGATGGGTCCACCATCTGCCTCCACCAGCTGTGACTTGAGAGGACACAAAAGACAAACTAAAAAGGATTAAAATAATAAAACTCTTATCCTTTGTGCAATATGCAAGTTCCAATCAGATCAGCCATTTGTGGCCTTATCTCTGTTAGTTTGCAACACATAAAATGAAGTCTTGAAATTTTTATTGATTAGAAGTCACCTTGATAAAGCAAACCGAGGACGTTTTCTGCTTAATTCATAGAAAATCTACATTTGCACTCCGACTAATCCCCTGACATCATTTGATGTTCCTCCTGAATCTTTGGTCAGCATCTGTTTGGAGTAAACAGGACTAATGCCTCACGGACAAAGTGCACATCTGTATTGTCTGAGTCGTCAGGGGAAACGTCCGCTACGCACGGAGGTGTCTCCGTAGCCCGAGTCCAAACCGAACAGCTGCCGCCTTCAGAACTGCTTCACGATGAAGCATCTCGACGTGACTCGCAGAGCAAAATCAGGATAAGAGAGACGAGAAAAAGGAACAACAGACAGAAAACAAGATGCCGAGGAACCAATAAAACCTCCAAGAAGCAGGTCAGATGCTGCCTTTCATCCCAACATCATCTCACGTTGAGAAAAGGTGGATTTGTGGTTGTTTGGGTCGAACCTGGGAAGAAAAATAAACATTCTGTACAATCTCAATCTGTGTAACTTCAAATAATCTCTTAATATGTAATGAATGTGTTGTCAACGACTCTTATGATACCTTTTAAAAGTGAATGAGGTGGAACTAGTTTTGTGATTTATTGTCAGTTTGGGTCGTGACAACAAACACATTTTTATCATAATTATTCACATAAACTTTCATCTATTATTTTTAGTATCTCGTTACTGAACCAAGCAATCTCACTGTTTCTCAGTGAATCAGCTAGGCTAACGATTAGCTCCCTTATCCCTCCCACTGTCCTAGTAAGTAAGTAAGTAAAAGTTTATTTATATAGCGCCTTTCACAGATATAAATCACAAAGCGCTGTACAACATGATAAAGATCAGGGCAAATACCTCTAACCAATAAAAACATCAGAAAAACAATAGCAGTGATAAACGTACAAAATAAAATCATGAGTATAAACAAAGTGAAGGTGTGACCCTAATGGGTGTGACCCCGCGAGGAAAGTTAACTTTAACGTTTAAAGTTAAATAACATCAACGCTGCTCAATGGTCAACTTTCCTCGCGGGGTCACACCCGTTAGGACAGTGGGAGGGTTAAGCTAATGTGCACTAGCAATGCTAACATGTTGCCACAGCTGCAGTTTCACCCACAATAACGATAAACACCTTTTTATATACCTCTTTGGTGAACTCACACTGAAGTGACCAGGCTCAGAGTGTGTCACGTCTAAAACGGTCCGGGTGGAAACACATTCCTGTTTTTAATATCTCTTAAGGAGAGAACGCGATCGTTCTACGATGTCTGATGCTCTAAAAACCCAAACTGTACTTGATGAATCTAATATCATCATCACACACACACACACACACACACACACACACACACACACACACACACACACACACACACACACACACACACACACAGTATACCTGATAAGTCATTAAAATCCATTCAGTTAGTTGCCCATGAGATGTTTTGCACACATGATGCACATCTTTACCCACACATCTTTGGTTTCGGCTGAAGGAGATTAAAATTAAGCACACAGATTGAAATAAACAAAAAACAGGGCAGAATAAAATAAGAACAGCTTTAAGATGGAAACAATGCAATATTTATAGACCGTCAGAGCGGGACTTTATTCTTGCGTCAGCCACCTGTTGTGTAAGATGAGATGCTTCGCAGCTGTTACACACAAATATGTACACAGCCATCTGACTACCCACTAGAGTAATGTGTGTGTGTGTGTGTGTGTGTGTGTGTGTGTGTGAGTCCAGACACGATCGATATTCCCTTCTATCATAACTCAAGGGTGGCCTGCTTTCTGCATCGCTCCATCGTCCATCAAGCAGGAAGAAAATGACTTTTTCCTCCAGAAATTTATTCAGAAAAGCAGAAAAAGTTCTAATCAGAAACCAGTTCAGGCAGAACAAACACAGTTTTAGTTAGAATTAGTAAATAATCGGGTTTTAAATCCTCACAGATAAATAGGATCAATCATCCTGTAAATCTGAGTCCGTACTTAGATTACTCACTTGAAGAAGTCAACCTGAACTCTGTCCTTTGGAACGTGTCGACCTTGATGCTGTTTAAACTTTAAAATCTTGATCACTTTTTTAATCTACTATCCTTTCCTGGTCAGTTTTTTTCTGAGTGTTTCAGGTAACTTTCAGAAACTCGCCAAACCTTTTCATAATGTTAAAAAACAGAGTTTTATGTTGTCTTTATTCTGAACATGCGTACATACACACAACATAAGTGACTTCTCCGTCTCGTTTTTTATTCATTTATTTTTTACACATTCAAATTCAATTCAATTCAATTCAAAAGTACTTTATTAATCCCAGAGGGAAACTGATTGCTGTAGTAGCTCAGGATAATAATAATAATCAAGTCATCAAAGAGTTGTTGTATATTACAACGGCTGTTGGCAGGAAGGATCTCCAGTAGCGGTCAGTGTTGCAGCCAAACTGAAGAAGCCTCTGACTGAAGACACTCTTCTGTTGTCGGACAGTCTTGTGAAGAGAACGCTCAGGGTTGTCCATCATTTTCTTGATTCTCTGGAGAACCTTCTTTGCATGATCTCCTCCAGCGGTTCCACAGTCGTCCCCAGAACAGAACCAGCCTTTTTTATTAGGCTGTTGAGCCTTTTCAGGTCCCTGCTTCTGATGCTGCTACCCCAACAGACGATGGCTGAAGAGATTACACTCTCAACAACAGACTTGTAGAAGATCTGCAGCATCTTGCTACAGACATTGAAGGACCTAAGCGTCCTCAAGAAGTGCAGTCTGCTGTGTCGCTTCTTGTAAACGGCTTCGCTGTTCTTTCTCCAGTCCAGTCTGTTGTCCAGGTGAACTCCAAGGTGTTTGTGTTCCTCAACCACCTCCACTTCTTCTCCCATGATGGAAACAGTGTTTGACTCCACCCTGTTTCTTCTGAAGTCTAAAATCATCTCATTTGTTTTGTTCACGTTCAAGGTCAGATGATTGTTTCCACACCATGCCACAAAGCGTTCAACATGTTCAGAAGGGAGTAGGAAGAAGCATCAGCTTATTTAATCCCACCCCTTTCTCCACATCAAATAACTACTTAATGTTGTCCGGTAGTTTTTGGCAAATTACTTTGAAACATATTCACACGAATGGCACATGGTTTATCACAATCATGTCATTAACACAAACACTTTGTGTTTAGACACACACTTCTGGACCTTCTTCCTTAAACATCATGAGTTTAAGCCTTTTTTTAAACAGCATCATGTTTGGACATCGCCTCAATTCATCACTCATTCTGTTACACACACACACACACACACGCACGCACGCACGCACGCACGCACGCACGCACACACACACACACACACACACACACAGTTTTTAATGTTGTTCGGACCCGAGCATGTTTGAATTTTTACTCCCCTCTTAACTGACACCTCCCCTCCCTTTTATGAAACGGTCATGTTCTGTGTCCCCTTGGTCCCCAGCCCCCCACCTGTTCTCCCTCAGGTTCTCCTCATGTGTCTCCTTGTGTTCTCCAGCTCCCTCTAGGCTTCCCTCGTGCTTCCTCCTAGTCACTCCCGTGTAGTTCTTATTGGTTTGTGTTAGTCCTCCTCACCCCTCTAGTCATTAGTTGTTTATCTCAGTCTCTAGGTTTAGTTATTTAGTGTTTTGTAGGTTATGGTTTATCCTCCCCTCTGCTTGAGTTCTTTCCCCATTTAGTTTATTAATGGCACCTGTCTTCCCTCCAGACCTCACTCCTCACACCTGTTCCCCTGATTGCTCCCCTCTGTGTTAAAAACCCTGTCTTGTCCCTGAGGCCTAGTCCACACGTAGCCGGGGTTTTTAAAAACGAATATCCGCCCCTCCAAAAACTTGCATCCACACCACCTCGTTTAAAAAAAAAACACTGTCCACACCTACCTGGATAAATACGTTGTTAAGGACATGCCAGACCTGTAGGCGGCAGTACTTCCCCCGTTCTTAACCTCGTCTGTGGTCTTCCGCAAGGAGCAGTAATTCCGCTTGCAAAAACAAACAAGCAGAAAGCGCTTGGACAATTGAGGGATCGGGTAGTGACAGTGCGCAGCTCTGAGGGCATCCATGCTGTCGGCTAGTGTAAACACAGGTCGCACACGTGATGTCAGCATTTTTTTGTCGTGGAAAGTGACGTTGCGGACCTTAAAACTCCGGTTTTGTCTGTCCACACGCAGACACCCAAAACGGAGAAAACGCAGATCTTCACTTTGGCGGAGTTTTTAAAAAGATCCGTTTTCGTGTGAAAAAACTCCGTTTTCGTGTGGATGACAGGCCAAAACGTAGCAGATACCCGGCTACGTGTGGACAGGGCCTTAGTCAGCGTATTTTTGTTCCCTTGTCATTTTCTAGTCTTTGTGCTCATAACTGAGCTTTGGTTTTTTGGCTTCCTGAGTTTGTTTTCTGGACTGGAATCCTGCACCTCTCAGCGTTTTCGTGTTGCCACCTTAATGAAAGGATTTGACCTTTTCCAACCGTGCTGCCTCGAGTCGTTATGGTGTTCTGCATCTTGGGTCCTAACCTCCTGCTGCTGCTCTCAACGTGACAGCAACTGTTTTAATATGTTGTCTGGAAGTTTATTGTTTACTTTGTACATTAGCTGTGCTGTTTTAAACTGAACTATCTCTGGAAATGTTAAGATTTGTGATTTTAAAAACGACGAGTTTGCATGATCTCTGTAACCAGTGTTACGAATGATCCTTAAAGCCCTTTTTAGTAACAGATAATGACGATAATGCACATTTATAGGTGCTCCCCCAAACCTCTGTACAGTCATTTAAATATGTGGAAATAAGTGAACAGCAGAGGATGTGGAGTGACTTTTGGTCCAGAATGTGTTTGACTTTATTTAATATTGAGATTTTATTGCTTATATGTTTAATGTGAGCTTTCCAGCTGATTCTATTGTTACACCAAGAAATCTGATCTCCTTCACTATTTCAATTCTCACACCATCAATTTGGATTTGTTCTTGTAAGTTTAGGCTGCTGTTCCCAAACAACATGATTTTAGTTTTATTCAAGTTTAGTGATAATTTATTCCATTCAAACCATTGTTTTTATTTTTTGTAGTTCCGAGTTGAGCGTATGTAGGAGTTCCTTGAAATTATCCCCAGAACAGAAAATATTTGTGTCATCTGCAAATAAAATTAACTTCAATGATTGTGACACCTTGCAGATGTCATTAATATAAAGAATGAATAGTTTTGGACCAAGCACTGACCCCTGGGGAACACCACAAACAATGTCCAAGCATGATGAGTTGATTCCATCCAACTTCACAAACTACTTCCTGTCGGTCAAATAATTCCCGATCCAGTCTAGTGCCACCCCCCTAATTCCGTAGCGTTCCAGTTTATTTAGTAGGGTGTTATGATTGATTGTGTCGAATGCTTTTTTTTATCTATGAATACTCCTGCTGCACACTTTTTCTGATCTATAGTATTTGAAATGTCCTCTAGAGTTTCAGTTAGTGCCAGTGATGTTGAACAATTAGCTCTAAATCCATATTGACTGTTAGTAAGTAGTTTATGTTTTTCTAGAAATGTATCTCGGCGGTAAGTGAACATTTTTTCTAGTATCTTGGCAAATGGAGGAAGTAAGGAAGCAGGTCTGTAGTTTGTGAAGTGATGTTTATCCCCACTTTTATACAGAGGTGCAATTTTCACTACTTTCATTAAGTTAGGAAATTTACCGGTCTGGAATGATAAGTTGCAGATGTAAGTTAGTGGCTTAGATATGTCTTCAATCACTCTTTTAACAGTGGTCATAACTAAATCATGACAGTCTGTGGATGTTTTATGTCTACATTTATTAATAATATCAATGACTTAGAGTTCCTCTCTATCAGATTATTGGTCCAATTTTCAGAGGTTTGTGGTTCTGGAATGGTCTGCTGGTTTTGGTCCGATGTTTATAAAGAATTTATTGAAGCTATTGGCCACATCCTTAGTGTTGTTCTACGATATCATTGTCAATAAGGTATTGCGGATAGTTTTGTGTAGCGTGATGAATTGTCCATTTCTGACCTAAAAGGCCCTGCTCTGTTTTGCTCCACTCAAAGCAAAACCAGAAGTCTTTGACACAGAACTAATCTGCATGAGATATTGCTCAAGGTCTCATGCATCTGCTTCTAAACTGTTTCTTGCTTTCCAGCTCAA